CCAGCATGCGAGAGTGCTCTGTGCAGGGCTTCAGCACTCTGCGTGCCGAGCACGACAAGCTCAAGCAACAGATTAGCCAAGCCGGAAACAGACATCAGGCGGTAAGTCTACTCCCACTGACAGTTTCTTGAAGAGGAGGATTGAGTTTAACCCAAGTGATCACATTTCTTTTAAACTGATTGGCTCAGATGTTCACAAGCTTTGTGGGTGCTGTAAATGTCACCAATTGGCCACAGGGAGGCTGTTTCTGTACATGCTGAAATGCTCAGCAGGCTTCAGTGTTTAAACTGGGTTATAAACAGTCACTTTTCAAACTAGACCAAGAAAAACCCTTTTAAACTTGAGAGAACTTGAAGGAACCTTATAATGAGAACATTTGGTCACATTGCTTGTCTAAATAATTTTTTGACCTTTCTACAGCGTGTGGCCGAGCTGGTTCAGTGTTTGCAGAACCAAATGAATCTCTTGGCAGTGGACACTCAGACTGACTTTGAGGGTCTTGCACAGACAACATCTGCCCAGATTGTTCCACTAGAAACGCTACAGAGCTCCATACAGAGGTGAGAGGACATTCCCAACATATACCTTCAAGTCTCCTGTAACAAAACCCTAATAAATCACATCTTCATTGTAGTAAATGCACTGTGGCTGAGGAGCACACTGTGTCTGTCCGTGCTCGGCTGGGTTCCTCCGTGTATGAAGTGATAACAGAGATGAATGGGGTGACGGAAGAGGGAGAGAGGGCACTGGAGGAGTGTGCTGGTTACTGCAGACACCTGCAGACATCACTGGACTCGTTGGCTGAGTCGGGACTCAAGTGGTGTCATGAAGCCAGAGGCTCAACTGAGAATAAAGCCCAGGAACAGCTCAAACTCATCAGGGAGACAGACACAGCTGTACAAGACCTTCTAAAGGTTAGTTTGGGCCTGTCCCAATTATACCCACATCTGCGGTCTTTGCACTTGACCACTTGTCTTATTCACATGGCATATTTCATGTATTTGACCAGAAGTGTTCAAGTGAGTATAAAGACCTCAAGTGTGTGTAGAACTTAATTTACCTGATGGGACACACCTAGGGGCCGTTTATTTGTTTATTTTTTTGCTTTGGGAAACAACACAAACGCTTTTCTCTTTTTTTTTTCTTTTTTTTTTCAAGTTTTTAAAGTAGAACTTTTTGATTTGAGCGGCAAGTTTTTAGAACACCATGTCATGAACAAGACACTGCAAGCAAAAGTCGAAAGCATAACGGTCAAAGATGTTTGTCTTGTGCATGTTTATATAGAAAGGCCATGGAAAAATAGCGCAGTGGAATGGGAAATTAATTATGCAATGTCTAATTAATTTAAAGGGTTAGTTTGCCCAAAAATGAAAATTAGCCCATAAATGACTTAAAGGGTTAGTTCACCCAAAAATGAAAATTAGTCCATAAATGACTCAAGTCATCCTAGGTGTATATGACTTTCTTCTTTCAGACGAATCCAGTCGGAGTTATATTTAAAAATTGTCTTTGATCTTTCAAGTTTCATGGCACTCAGCGGGTGTTGCATGCATCAGTCCAAAAGCTCTTAATTAAAATGCGCCCATCCATAAAAAAAAAAAAGTGTCTCACACGGCTCCGGGGGGTGAACAAAGGCCTTCTGTAGTGAATCGATGCGTTTTTGTAAGAAAAATATCCATATTCACAACGTAATAATCACTTTAATGTAGCTTGCGCTCACTGTTGTACACTGGAAGCAGTTCCGGGCGGATGACGTATGGAGGTCGGCTTTGTGCATGCGGCGCTCAGAAGTGATGCACGTGGAAGCGCAGGGGAGAGATCAAAACAAAACAACGGTCACTAATTAGAAGTACAAAACGAGGATTTGTAAAGAAGAATGTCGGAGGATTTCGATATAAGCCAAGAGGAGACTGGTTTTCCTTTGCTAAAGTAAGGAAACTTTGCTTCCTTTGCTCCTTTTAACAAACGTTGGTTTTCACGAGACTCACCAGCGCATGCGCAGCACTGACCTCATACGTCATCTGCCAGGAACTGCTTCCAGTGTACAACAGTGAGCGCAAGCTACATTAAAGTGATTATTACGTTTTGAATATGGATACTTTTCTTACAAAAACGCATCGATTCACTACAGAAGGCCTTTGTTCACCCCCCGGAGACGTGTGTGTTGTTTTTTTTGTTTTTTGTTTTTATGGATGGGCGCATTTTAATGAAGTGCTTTTGGACTGATGCATGCAACACCCGCTGAGTGCCATGACACCGCTTGAAAGATCAAAGACAATTTTTAATATAACTCCGACTGGATTTGTCTGTAAGAAGGAAGTCCTATACACCTAGGATGACTTGAGGGTGAGTAATTTATGGGCTAATTTTCATTTTTGGGTGAACTAACCCTTTAACCTACGCTTAAGTTTTTCTCAGCATCTTTCAATTTTGGGACATGTGAGTTCCAGTATTTGATGGAATATGCTTACTCAATGGTGTGCATTTAGTGTGTGTTATTGGGACAGGACCTTTGTGTCTGAACCTCTTGAATGGAGAGAGTTAAATAAGAATCTATGACGTAAGGACGTCTTTTTTGCCTGTGCTAAATTTTTATTTTACTCGTGTGCATACAGTCTGTAGAAGAAAAGGGCGAGAAAGCCATTAAGGACTGTGAAGGCCGTTTGAGTCACATGCAGCAGGAAGTAGAAGGAATCCTGCGTCGTGTGGAATTGCAGACCGACAAAGATTATGCTGCCTTGCAAGAACACAAAGAGATCCTTTTCTCCATCAACACTCAAGCACTGGACACAGTACACCACTTCATCAGCTCAGAGCTGCGGCAAGATTTACCTACAGGTGTGAGAGAAGCTATGTGGGGAAATATTCAAAATATGGCATTATGAATATAGACGTGGCTCAAATGCAAGTAATCTGTCCATGTGTACTGGGCACTGATGTGACATGTGAATCTTTGCAGGAACGACTCCTCAGCGTAAAGAGTATGTGTATCCACATGTGCTGAACAAGCCTAGGAGTCGAGAGGAGCTGGAAGATGAGTTCAGAGCTCAGCAGGAGCAGTTTCAGTGTGCACTGAGCCAGTGTGAGACTGTCATAGAGGCAGAAGAGGAGAAACCTCTCGACCAGGTATTACAATCATAAGTTTTGACCATCCATATTCTAAATCTCATCAGTAGAAACTGTTTTCTTTTCAAATTTATTAAGACTTATTTGAAGATGTAGTAGATGCTTTTGTTTGGACTGGTGTAACTTCGATTCTGTTTTTAGGACTCTCTGGAGGATGAAGGCAGTGTTTCTAGTGATGGAAACATCACTGAACAGTCATGCTTTGATGAGAACCTGATGTGTTATGAAAACGGAAGGGTTCCGTTTTTCAAGGTGAGACATTTTGGACCCATTTAATGTCATGCATAGGCTTAAGGTGTGGTCACATTAGCGAAATTTTGTGGGCAAAAAAGGTCCATTGCATATTTTCAGTAGTGTAGTAATGTGTGAAGCACACCTCACACAGATGTCCCTTGAACCAAGCAGCTTTCTGTTGGTCAATGTGAAAAACACTAAACCCATTGCAAATTATTTGTGGGGAAATCTTTCGCCCTGAAGCAAAATTTCCAATCATGAATTCCTATTGATATGACTTGTTTTTGTCTGAAAATACGCTGTACAATGGTAGATCTAGCTACACGTTCATAGCGTTGGCCACAAAAAATCAATTGGTTTTTTTTTTTTTTTTTTTTTTTTTGTCTAACCAGAAGAAAAGCAAGAAGGAAAATGGCAATAAATCACTGAACCATTCAAAGATGGAGAACGAGAGCATGTGTACGCCACCACGTTCTAAACTACCTCTCAGGTGTCAGAATTAACAAATTATGTTTGGTTTTTTACTCTCTCCTTGTATGTCTTAAAGAGCATTGTTTTAACCGTCTGTGTATGTCTTTTTGAATATGATTTGTCTATGTTTTTAACTTTCATATATCCGTTTCTTCACAGTTTAGTAATAAATGTTGTAACTTCAGAGTGATTTCTTACGGTTACCTTTTCTGTTAGTTTCACTAGAGTTGAGAGCTTTTTTGTTGTTGTTGTTGTTGTTGAACATTTGTATGTTTAATTAAAAATATTTTTTATTGGTTCAAATATGGAGTGGATCATTTTCTTTTAGCTTTTAAAGTATTGTTCGGTATTGAAATGTTTGTATAAAGTTTATTTCTATTACATTTAGTTTGTTGACTGTAACATTGGTGCTCTTTGTAGATGTATGTTTTCCTCACATTTTTAGAGACAAGGTTCTTATTACAAGAAAAAATATTCGCGGGATTGCTGCATTTAATAAAGGAATTCAAATGTAAGAGTTGTTGTAACCTTATTTAGGCAAACTTTACATATTGAGTAAGATAAAGTTATCATCCAAAGTTTTGAAAATCGTTTGTTTAGAAAACATTAAATCCTATTGGTTATTTTAAATGTTGTTGTTTTTTTCTTCACATCTACAATTTGAGGGTTGATTCTTGTCACTCAATTTGTGCAGAAATGAGCTTTTCATATTTTTATTTACTTGCACTAAAACAGGCCTATCTGAGCTATGTAAATTTGTATTTTGTTTCTCCGAATACGTTTATATGGAACTTTCTACCTTTTCGATCTTGACAATAATTTCCACCTGAATAGTGACTGGTAGTCTATAATAATAACCACTGATTTGAAAATACAAAGAATAGTTACTTTTAAACCCTTAATTTTAATCTAAATGAGATACAATTAAAAATAACATGCTAAGCGTTAATTTCTGAAGTCCAATCAGAACCTAGGTCTGTACCACGTGTTTAGATGTCACAGTCTCGTCCAATCAGAACCACTATGTATCACGTGGTTTCATTCCACGTCTGCGAAGGGAAGCCAGATCAAACAGCAGAGAATCTGAAACCTCTGCTGTTAACAACCCCATTATTAAAAATGTGAATATCCACTCGTTGGCATGCAGTCGGATGATTTGACACGAAGGGAAGCCAGATCAAACAGCAGAGAATCTGAAACCTCTGCTGTTAACAAACCCATTATTAAAAATGTGAATATCCACTCGTTGGCATGCAGTCGGATGATTTGACCCTGGAATGGATTTAGAGGAGGCTTACCAGGTGGTTGGAGAATTCGGTAGACACCAGAAGCGGATGGTCACCATCCTGGTTCTCCTACAGGTAACTGATGATAGACGCAAATCCATAAACACCGGACAGACATGTGTTTGTGGTGGTAAATTCCTTTTATTTTTCTGATCACACAAGCCAGTAATCATGCAAAATGTATATTTGATGGATCAAACCTTTGAAACCATGCCACATTTGCATCTCATCCCCAGGCAATGGGATGTCTTTGCTTTAATTTGACCTAATTTCAGTGAATCATTTACTTTTAAATGTATTTACTTATTATAAATAGTTTGGGATTTCCATGTTAAGACCCTGGAATCTGATGAAGTCTCGTCCAGGAATGGCATTACTTTGTTGGCTCTAAAAACTGAACATGTTTGTGCATCAAGTAATATTTTGGATTATTTTTCAGAGGTGCATCTCCTGCTTCTTTTATTTCCTTTCAAACTTTCATTTCAAAATGTGTGTTTTTCCTTGCCTATTATTCAATATGAGACAAGAAAAAAAGTAAAATAGTTATATTTAAAAATATATATAAAAAAAAACAACTATAAAACTCACCAAAGCCCTTTGTAATGTTGTTTATCTCATAGCAGGTGAATGTGAAATGATTATATTTTGTGGTAAAAAGGGATACATTTAACATTATAAAAGTAGTAGTCTGTTTTTTTTCTAAATTGTCCTCTTCTACCACATTGGTAGGATATAGTAATAAGGTTTCTTTCAAAGATGCACATTTATATTTCTGTTTTTCTCAAGTTTAATATATTTGAAATAAATGAGTTATAGCTATAATGTAATGTCATAGTTTTAATTGAAAATAAACAGAAAATGACATGAAACGAACATTCTAGTGGTCATCTCTACCATATAACAGTTTTAATTTGCACTGATTTGAGATCAGTTTGGATATTGTTCATTTACTGGTAGTAAACTGGTTGTATTTACTGGGCCTAGATCATTGAAAGTAACCTGAAATATTTGTCTTGTTTTTACAGATTTACATGGCATGTCAGTCCATGCTCATAATTTTAGTGGGTGCTGTGCCAGAATATAACATAGAACCTGTTACTGGAAGTCCGGATGATGATATAACACAAAGTGTGAAATTCACAGAGGATGTCAGCTCAATCGTGACCGAGGTAAGGGCCTGTCATCAATTCAGCACGTTAAACAAATTTGTCTTAAACTTTGCTCTTCTTTTCAAATACAAATCTAACCTATACTTGACATCAAATTAGGAAGTCTTTTAATCTTAATATTTGGTCAGGACAGCAGGTATATGCATCCATATTTGAACAGTTTGATATTCCTTCTTCTGGTCTTTTCTTGTAGTGGTACCTGATTAAGCATCAAGCCTACAAAGTGAACTTGGCTGGGTCCCTGTTCTTTGCAGGTGTGCTGATCGGAAATGTCCTGTTTGGACCACTCTCTGATAAGATCGGCAGGAAGCCGGTTTTCCTCACTGGTAGGATGGAGCTGAACTGGTTTCTGTTCTTTGTAATAATCTATAATATACAGTTTCACATTATTACAGTGCTTGCAAGGCATCAAGCATTCTGCTTAGGGCTGTACTAAACCTAGAACCCTAATTCTGCATGTATGTGTATTTATATATACATAATAAATATACACAGTACACACACATACTATGTAAACAAAAACTTTTATTTTGGATGCGAATGATCGTTGCCCAGCACTACTTAAAAATTTAAATTACTTGAATTTAAGTAATATAGGATTACAATTGGAAAATGTTTCAGTTGATATAATGTTTCATAATGAGGGATTACATCATTCTATTTGCGTACTGAATTGTGATTGGTCTTTTCTTTTTTGCATCTATTTAATCATCTATAACTGCTTTACTTTGCAAAGATGTCATGTGCTGATTTTCATACACAACCAACTAAAAACCAAAAGCAAAGAAACAAACATAAGGCCTAAACGTTCCTAAAACAACAGTTTAACATGTTGTTAAAGTGACCTCTATTAAAACTGTTCTCTCTCAGGTCTGTTTTTTGAGGTCTTGTTTGGGTATGGAACAGCGTTAGCACCCAGTTATGAGATATTTGCTGTGTCTCGGCTGCTGGTGGGGATGATGAATGGAGGAATGGCATTGGTCTGCTTTGTTCTCACTCAGGAATATGTGGGAAAGTGCTACTGGGCTATGACAGGTGCACATTAATTAATATTTAAATCAGTTTTGTAGGTTACTTTCGCTGTAGTCATATAAATCTAATACGATTGTTTGTGTTCCAGGGACCTTGACTAATATGACCTTTGCAGTGGGCATCACTCTGTTTGCCGCATTGGGTTATTATGTTCGGCCATGGCGGAACCTAGCAACTGTAGCCAACTGTCCTGGACTTTTGCTCTTCCTGTTCTGTGTGTAAGTGAGCGGTGCGGTCAGCTAGCTACCTCCTGTTAAACTATAGCACTGTGACTTCATTAAAAGCCACCAGGAAGATACTGGCCCAGTTGATTTGTTTACTGTGAAAGGGTGCTTTGTAAAGCTGCACTTGGTGTTGCTCTTAGGACACTTTAAGCATTGAGCAAAAACATACATTTTTAAAAGAGTTTTTTTTGTGTATTCTGGTAAAGGAATGTACTAATGTAGTTAAATTCCATGGTAATTCCATGTCGATAAATAGGGGCAAAAGAGCAAAAAAAAATTAGCTCAACCTCCAGGAAAAATATTGAGCCTGTATCATAATTAAAATACTCCTTAAAATAAATAATTAAAATAATAAAATTCCCCCGTCAAAAAGTTCCAGTCATATTGTAAAATGTCATAATGCCTCTTGAACGTGAAAAATGAGAATATGTCTGATAATATGTCTATGGCAGGACTTTGCCAGAGTCTCCACGCTGGCTTTATTCTCGGGGTCACACGGAGAAGGCTGAGGACATCCTGCAGGATTTTGCTGTGAGGAACGGGAAAGGCAGAATTCCAGTGAAGCTCCGGCGGACCGTCAGCACTAGCACTCCAGATGCAGCCAGTTCTGGGGTTTTCCAGCTGGTCACACATCCCATACTGCGCTGGAGGACTGTGGTGCTCATGTACGTGTGGTAGGTATATTTATTTTCCAAAGCTATATCTTAATTTCGCTCTTACAGCATGATGTCAAAGGTTTGTGCATTTTAATATACTCATTCTGTGTGTGCGTGCGTGCGTGCGTGTGTGCGTGCGTGTGTGTTGCAGGTATGCGTGTAGCCTTGTGTATTACGGGTTGACCCTCAGTGCCAGTGAAGTTAAAGGTAATCGTTACCTTAGCGTTGCCATGTATGGCCTGGTGGAACTCCCTGCGTATCCGCTCTGCATGTACTTCATTAACAAACAGTGGTAAATACACGATCACATCCACACGCTGCAGTATCACTCTCTCACATTATTAGCTGAGTGTGTTTGTTTGTTTTTTTCTTTTAGGGCAGGCCGGAGGAAGTCGATGTCCTATTTTCTTGCAATTGCAGGCATATCCTGTCTGCTCACAATGTTTGTACCTGTATCAGGTGATAATTATTCCAAGTAAATTGGGTTTTGATGCCGCTTGGTTTGACTTTTTGTTATCTATGCAATTAATTATTTCAGGAATGCTCTACGATACATTTGGGGACCACAAACAATTGGTCAAAAGTGAAATAATTAACATTATTCTTATGTCTTATGCTGCATTTATTTGATCAAAAATACAGTAAAAACAGTGATATTGTAAAAATATTATTACAATTTAAAATAACTTTTTTAATATTATGTTGTAAAATGTAATTTATTCCTGTGATTGCAAAGTTTAATTTTCAGCAGCCATTACTCCAGGCTTCAGTGTCGCATGATCCTCAGAAATCATTCTAATATGCTAATTTGGTGCTCAATTATTATATCAATCTACTCAAACTATTATTTAATAATGAATATTGTAATTATTATTATTGTGGAAACCATGACACATTTATTTGAAATAAAAATCTTTCGTAACAATATACATAAATGTCTTTACTGTCACTTTTGATCGGTTTAATTTGTCATTGCTGAATAAAAATATTAATTTTCTTCTTTTTTTATTTTAAATCTTACATACCCCAGACTTAGAATGGTAGTGTATAAAGGTTTCCACAAAAAAATATTAAGTAGCTTTTATCAACATTTATAAACAACAACAAAAAAAACAATTTCAAACATTTGACCATAGTGCATATATTCTCTATAAGCATACCTCGTGCAGTTATAATTTGGTTGTCTAAAGCCTGTTGTTTGCTTTCCTCAGGGTCCTTATTAAGTGCCACGTCGCTGGCTCTAGTGGGAAAACTGATGGTCAGTGCTGCATTTAATATTGTGTACGTGTATACATCAGAGCTCTACCCAACTGTGATCAGGTACAGTCAACGCTTTCGCTGCATGTGTGATATGACACATCTTTTGTGGTTTAGCTCTTTTGCATTTGTCATTTTCAGTAAAAATGTGTATTAAAATGTGTTCAATTGTATGTCCTTACAGAATAAAATTCTGTGTTTTAACTTCCAGCGCCCTATAGTTTAATCTATTATGTAATCAGTGTACAATCTGAAAGTCCCTCACTGTATGTGCTGGGTTAATTCTAATGTAAGTGTGTTTGTGTGTGTTAGGAATGCAGGGTTAGGTGTGTGTTCCATGTCCTGTAGAGTTGGGGGAATTCTGGCACCGTTCGTGCCAAGTATGGTAAGCAGCTATGCTGTCTGATTTGAGAAATGACATGTTTTTCCCCAAAATAATATTTTCTTGTGTGATTAATTAATTATTAATGTATTAATATATATTATTATTATATTGATTTATGTACTGATTTATTGGTAATTGTCCAGAAATCATTGCACACCTCCATGCCATTTATGGTGTTCTGTTTGAGTGGGATTTCCGCGGCCTGCCTGGGGCTCCTTCTGCCTGAGACACTTAATAAACCTGCTGCTGAGACACTTGATGAACTGTCCAGCCCCACCTACCAGCGAATCTTAGAGCCGCAGGTAAACATGAGCATGACAGAATTGTAATTTCACAAGATTATTAAAATGTCTAATAACTTAATGTCTGTCTGCATAACTTCCTAGAAAACTTAATTCTGGTTAGATGATCACGGCATTCTGCAGCCAAATATTTTTGTATATATTTTATGTCTCTTATATAACAGTCTCCTTACATTTACATTTACTGATATGCATTTGCAGCTGAAATCTATTTTTCATGGCTGTGTAATTATAAGTTAGATTCGAGTGATTACAAAAATAAGCCCTTAATTACTCTTGAGATTTTTTTTTGTTAATATTACCGTATAAGAATCCTAGTGAGACCTTTTCATTATAATAGATTGTCGTGTGTTTTATAGGTTTGCCTTTTGGAGGAAAAGCATTTAATTGACCACAACGGGACTTATAGTGACTGAGACAAAGACCTTGAGAACATTTTATTACACTTGTTTACATACATTCCTTGACCATGTTCAGAATGTTGTGCCATATACTAACTCACCGAAAGACTAAAGGTGCCTTCCAGAAGAAATCTGTCTGCTCAAAGGATCAATTCAACAGATTTAACTGTCAGGACTATTTTAAAAGAATGGAAAAGGGACCAGATTCTTATTCGTAAGCTCTTTTCTGATAATGTCTGACAATTATGATAACTAATTTCATGTGGTTACTGCCATTTATGAACAAATGTCTTGCTCTGTTGTTTTTAATGTGTTTTTTTTTTGTGATCTATGACATTATATTCATCAGTGTGTGTGTATATTAGCGGTCAATTAATAATCAATAATGGCTGAAAAATTCAGTGATGCTGAATCTTTCTTTTAGGTTGTTTTAAAGAAATATTTCACTCAAAAATTATAATTGTCATTTACTGTTTCAAATCTTTACTGACTATTTTTTTTGTCATTCTCATATGCTGGTATTTTTTCTCTGCAATACATGTAGATTTATTTTATTTTTTTTAGACTTCTAAGTTTGGTCATTTGGACACTAGATGTGAAATTCCATAACTATTATCAGTGGATAAATTAGATTTGGGATTCATACTTTTATTTATGGGATTTGTTTTTGTCTTGGTGTTTCACTGAAAAAAATATCAGCATGTTGGTTTGGACCAACGTGAGGGTGAATAATAGCAGAATTGTAATTTTGGGGTGAACTATTGTTTTAAGAGACCTTTTTTTTTACCATTATTTTTCTCCAAAGGGAGAAGTGAAGTGTTAAACACATACATATTTATGTACATTGCTAAACATGCATTTGTTTTTATTTTAAGAGTTAAGGGGAAAGCTTTTAAATAAATTCCTCATATGAATGTACATGTCCGTCTGTCACCAGTAGATGACACTGTGTTGAAGGCCACCTCCCCTGAACTGAGGTCACCTTTGAACTGTTCCAGTCCTAGTGGTGATGTCAGCGTTGACGCAGGTGAGCAGTGCTCAGGTAAACCACAGGATTCAGGAGCTGTGAGTTTCAAAGAAGCCGACACAAAACGTTCAACCACAAACCTGTTTTTTTTTGTTTTCCATCACTCTTTTCTTGCTGTAATCGCAGTCTGTGGCTCTGCATGTAGCTGACAGAACAGGTTGAGAGAGCAGGCATTAACTATAATAACTGTTTTCCAGTCTGTAAGTCTTCATCCAAAGTCTGGCGGGCGTTGTATCACCCTGCACAAAGAGATAAACCGCAGGTACAGAAGGTGTGGTCTCTTGAGTGCATCGTCTACCCTGTGTTCAACTTGTAATAAAAAACATTAATTTGTCTGTAATTATGAACACCTCCCGGAACGCGATTTCGACCGAGGGGGACCACCAACCCCCACAACTCCCCTGCCCCTCCGGAGGTCTGTGCATGCCACTGCATCACATTGATACACATGATAGTAGAATGTGTTGTAATTGCAGTTTCATGTTGAAAATCCTGTTCAATCCTTGTTTAATCGTTAGAAAAAGCTGCTTGCTTGACTGCTTTTTTTATTCAGTCGAACAATATGACCTGAGACTGAACTCACAAGATAATTGCTGCAGGCCATACTGTACCGGTTCTGTCTGTAAGCAAAAGAAACTGTGAATATAATGTCTTCAGAATAAAAGATGAAAATAACAGGAATAAACATCTGGTACTATGCTTACTAATCTAAACTCTTTGAAATGTTTGTGTTTTGTTTTGTTTTAATATAAATAAATATATAAATGTGTACATTTTAAAATACTTTTCTATCTATCTGCCTCCGTCTGTCTGTCTATCTAGGATAAAACAAACAAACAGAAATAAACATCTGGTAATGTGCTTACATATTCAAACTCTTTGAAATTATTAAATTTTTAATAGATACAATCAAATATTGCCTTTTATTATTATGCTATTTTACATATGTACATGTATTTCAAGACAAAATAACTATACATAAAGTTGATATATAAATTAGGCTATGTAAATGTAAAGTATATTGAAGAGTTGCAACAACATCAAAAACCTCAGGATGTACTTCAAGTAAATTATTAAAATAATTAAGAGATCAGATTTCCAACCTTGATCCTGGAGGACCGCCGTCCTGCCTGATTTATCTGTAACCCTAATTAACACCTGAACCTGGTAATCAAGGCCTCCAAGGCCACTAGAACCTTCCAGGCAGGTGTGCTGGAGAAAGTTGGATCAAAACTCCACAAGAAAGTGCCCCTCCAAGAGGACTGGACACGTCTATATTTAGATGGGATTTAACGGACAAAAAAGGTTGGGAACTCCTGTTATGTGCTTTTTTTTTTTTTTTAGATGATCCAAGATGTGCCTTTTGCTTTCATGCAACATTTTTTTTTTTCCAGAGGAGTGATGATTCAGATGTTGAATGGTTGAATGGAAATATTATTTAGTAAAACATACAGATGCAAACACGTGACACAAAGTAAATACATGCAGTTAGCCAAGCTAGTCTGAATGACATTTGAAAAGATTCTTTATAATTATGTGACAGTATCACTAGTAACCATCAAGTCCGATGACAGATTTGTGAATTGAGATGCCACTGTACTGTATATAATACCATTCGATTTTAGCTCTAAAAAGTGCATTTACCCATGAAACTCCACCAAGTCCTCCCTGAATATTTGTAGACACTCAGTCGAGCTGAACCTATTCATTCATAAGCATTTTTGCTGCATCAAAAGCTTATGCAGATGTGCTGACAGTGGGTGTAGCATTATTATTGCGCTGATTCTTCTTTGTTAAAGCATGTCAATCACTGTGTTATTGAAGCCTGAAAACCCACCCAACTTCTGTATATGTGTCTGATGAATGACTTAAAAAATGCAGCACTGCCATTTGCTGTGATTCACCCAAAGGCTGTGGGGAGAATTTCTGTATAACTCAAATTCAGTCAACTCAGGTAAACAGCAAGTCCGGTCACAGTCAGCTGGATATTTTCCTCATGAATGAATGTTCCCCTTAAGGAAAGTACAGTAGGCAATGACATGTGCAGCTGAGGTGAAGATGATTATGTTCCAAAGCACAACAGGAAATAATGTGAACTATAGCCTGTCATATTTGAAGTTGCAGTATAAGCTGTAGAAGTCATGTCGAGGTGATATCCTCGTTCTTACGAAGGCTGAATTTGTCACCAGACACCGTTCCACTCTAATGGGATGCTTAGAGAGCGAGTTCAGAGTCACTGCATTTACATGGGACAGTCCTGCATCTCGTGCTTCTTCTTCCTAGCGTTACACCCGCGCAATGGCAGATTTCGCTTGACGGCACGCTCGTCTCCCTCTGGCTCGATCCAAGGCGTCTTCTGAAGCGACGTTCACGTGACGCATGTCTTCGGTAATCCGGTCCATCCATCTCTTCTTTGGTCGTCCGCGCGGCCTCCGGCCGTCAGTCTCGGTACCGAATTTCATCACCGACACCGTATCATCGAAGCCGCCCTTCCCGTCCTGCAGCTTGTGCTTATATTGAACAATGTAAATATATTTATATGAATATTTTAATAAAAATAAATGCATGCATGTATTTCACATATATACATTTAAAATATTATTTACAAATATTATGAAATATTAAATATTTTATTAAAATATATAACCCTCAAATAAAAGTTGATTTATAAATATATTTTATATTATCTATACTGATTTATAAGTGTATATTTTTATAAATACATAGAGTAGCCTATCTATCTATCTATCTATCTATCTATCTATCTATCTATCTATCTATCGGTATGTCTGTCTGTCTGTCTATCTATCTTACTGTTTTTTAAATGTATATTTTTTTATAAATATGCCTACATTATTATCTATAGGCCTATTCATTTTTAAATTTATTTTCATAAATACATACAGTATTGTCTATCTTTATTATTGATTTTTAAATGTATATTTTATAAATACAGTATATTGATTTATAATTTCTAAATATTTATAAATGTTTAATGTTTTATAAATATGAAGTTTTTATCTATCTGTCTGTCTGCCTGCCTGCCTATCTATCTATCTATCTATCTATCTATCTATCTATCTATCTGTCTATCTATCTATCTCTCTGCCTGCCTGTCTGTCTGTCTGTATTGTTTTATAATTTATAAATGTATAATGCATCTGTCTGTCTGTCTGTCTAGTTTATTTATTTATAAAATAATACATACACTGAACAATTAAGGATGTGCCTTTGCCCTTGTTTTGTGAACTCTGACTACAGAGGAGTGGTGTGTGTGTGTGCATGTGTTTGGGTCAGGAAGCATTTGTGCTGTGGGGTAATTACAGCGTAGACACCAGCTGCTGCTTCTGCATTCCAACACACACTGATACTGCCACCAGAGGTCATGACACATCACACACAGCTTCCACCGTGACTGATCCCTTACAAACGCTAAACATGTTACCTGTGGCTGATGACGTTCATGCTTGAATGGGTTTATTTAGCTCAAAGACCTTTCAGAATATTGATTTTGACATTTAACTCTTCACCAGTCCATATTTAGAGTAGGTTAGTTAGGATGGCTGACTTTTGTAGTGTGTTTAAGTCATCGGCACTTACAAATCATGCTGTTTATCCCACTGGGAGTCAGATGATTGAAGGTGTGACATTATGTATACACACATACACAAAAAGTAATCCGGTTCAGAAGTTCAGCTGAACTATGATCCTGCCTCAAGGGCATGACGGAACAATAAAGAGGGAAATAGGAGGATACCGTATAGATTTCAAAGGAAATTTGATTGTTAGATCAAACAAGCTGAAAGGGAAAGAAAGACGACTGTTAGCATCGACTTCTTCAGCAGAGCAGAAACAAATTTCATTTTTGTTTTACTAATTTATTTGACTTTGTACATACATTTGTATATATTGCCCTTTTTCCCCTTTATTTTTATAAGATCAAGGTCAAAGGTCAAGATCACAATAGAGTCACAAGTCACATGATTCCTTTAGGATTTCATGACAATTACTTCCTGCATCTTTTTCCATCTGTTTCTTCTTAACTATAACCTTTCTTCATCCTACCTCTCTCGCCACTCTCATCCTCTCAAATATATCTTGCAGCCTTGACACTGAAGCACACTGTATGTTCTCCATCTGGTATGTCTGTGTGCCCTTCGGCTGCTAGTCTTAAGTGTGTGTGTGTGTGTGTGTGTGTGTGTGTGTGTGTGTGTGTGTCAGTCCATGACAGATTATTTTGTCAGTTTTGTGTCCATACATGTGTGTAAGCTGCTTCCTCATTTGCTCAGTGACCTAAAAATCTTTCAAACCGTTTGTATTGATAAGAGAGGCTGCATGTCTACTGCTGGTCGATTCAGGCACAGCTCTGCTTTATTTAAACACTACGGTCTTTTTCTTCACAGTCTAGAGTAGTTTCGTGTTAAACATCTTAATGCTTGTTGAGACAAAATGAAACCTTTACTCATTAGAAATTGCAGTAACGTAGCCAGATATGTTTTATAAACCCCAATGTATGAAATATAGAAGCCTCTTATTCTAATCAAGGCTCCATTAAAAACACAGTAATATATATATATATATATATTACTATATATATTACTGTGGTACAGGGATCCTGCCCTGACAGCCTTGTCTGTCTTGTCTTTGTTCAATGTTTCTTTGTTTATCTTGTGCCTGAACACGGTTGTGTTTTTGTTTTTGTTGGCCATGTGCTCCTCTTGTCCCGCCGCGTCAATTTCAATAGCCACACCCCCTTGTTTAGTCCTTGTTTGTCCGATTGTGTTCAGCTGATCCTCGTGTGCCCTAACCCTTTATAGGGTGCTCATTTCCCTCTCGTCGTGGCTGGTTCGTTGTCTCCTATGTCGTCCGTGTATGCTTTACCTTTGTCTATCTGCATCATCTTGATTGCCATCTTTGTCTTCAGTGCCTCCGTTTGTCGTCAGTGTTCTCATTACCTCTGTCTACAGTACCTTCGTGTGTCTCCATTTCCTTTGTCGTCATTATCGTTGTCAGCATTTCTCTCCTTGTCTCCTCTTTGGTTGTGTGTGTGAATTCTCCGTGCTGTTGCCGTTAGTCTTGTTCGAGTGGGTTTGTCAGTCGACTTCGGTTTGTCCAGTTTCCCTCTCGTTGGTCCTAGTTTCCTTGTCTCTGTGTCTTGTCTATAGTCTAGTACAGTCCTAGTGGTTTCATCCTTTTATTGTTAGTCCTGAACTTTTTCGATTTTTTTTTCCCTTTTTATTTTGTTATCCTTGTGTCGTGAGAAGTTCCAGTTGTATTTCTAGGATTTGTTTTATTATGTTATTTTTCTTTCAGTTTCAGCAAGGTCGCTATCTTGTTTCTATTTTAGATTTTGGTTTATAGTTCCTGACCCTTTCAAATTTGCACTGTTATACAAGCTGTACACTCACTACTTTACATTGTAGCAAAGTGTCATTTCTTCAGTGTTGTCACATGAAAAGATATAATAAAATATTTACAAAAATGTGAGGGGTGTACTCACTTCTTTGAGATACTGTATATATGTAACTTACTGACCCCAAACACAATGTTCACGCTCAACAATGTGCAAATAAAAACATCAAATCTCTTTATTGAACAGAGACATCTTAAACACTATATACCAGAGCTCCAAATGCACATTTCAGAATAGATACCATAAAAGATACCAATTAACATGAGCACTACTCCACAAGACAAACATGAGCACGGTAACTACAAGTATTACAAGTATTGACACAACATGTATACACATATACTCCTAATTTGGAGAAAAAGTGCTGCTTGTTTTCTCCTTCCCTGTATTTAAACTGATCCCCCAGTTGACAGCGCAAAGATCATTTTTCACAGCTTACATTCATGATAAACACAAATAACTATGCATTAGTCACCTATTTACATGGTTTAAAGCAATATGTAACTTCTGTAAGTACTAGAGTACAGAGCCGCAAGGACAGCACTTATAGATAACTAGTCACTTTAATAGTACAGTGGCCTAGAAATTAGAAAGTGGAGTAATATCATTTTTTATTTAGTGAGCCATTTCTATTTACTTGAGAAAAAATCTAAACAGAGCTTATTTGTGTTCCTACTTCATTTCATAAAACAAAAACAGTTTTTTTTTATATATCACATACAAGGCTGAGATGAAAGAATAAATGAATTTAAATGCATTTCTATTCTATTCTATTTTTTAGACGTGCACATGCACATCAAAATGGCTTGCTTATTCAAACCTAACAGGCTTTTACACAGGCTTAAGTAACTTTTTCATGCATTCTAGTGGATATTTATCCTTTTCACAAATTAACTTAAAACAAGATTTCAAGACTTTGCATTATCTAATGAATGAGTCAAGTTCATCATTTCATCCATTTCCAGATGTTTTGCTTTACATAAACATCAGAAAGGAAACTGCATGATTGTACATGATTCCCAAAAGCAATTTGATGTCTATGTGTTGGCGTTCTATGTTGTACAGTGTCTAAATTATTATTATTTTTTGGTCTATATATGCGTGGACTCCCTGCGGTTTCTCTCAACTCCGTGGGTTCTGTAGTTAAAAAACACGTGCAGTCCATTGACCGGATGCACGATTGGCACCGTCTGCATACTTGGATATGTTTCTGTTGCCAAAGTGCAATCCACTGTGGCGAGCAACTCCACTGTAAGAGTTTTCAGCACAATCAAAGCTAGCTCTCGACCGATGCACCTCCTCACACCGCCTCCGAAAGGGACGTAACTGAAGCGGTCAGTTTTGCTCTCGTTTCGATCCGCGCAGAACCGGTCCGGGTCGAAGAGCTCTGGGTTCTGATACACTTCTGCTGTCTCATGCATGTCACGGATGCTGTACATGATGCTCCAGCCCTTCGGGATCTGATAACCCTGCAGATGCATAATATAGGAATTATTTCATTAGAGCACATTGCCTTCTAGACCTTTCTGAGACTTCAAAATATAAAAAGTAAATATAAAAATAAAATTTGTCATCTTACATTTTTTTATACCATTTTTGTGCTCAGAGCACAAAAAACATTTTACAAGTTTTTTTGAATCCATGTTTTTTCATCAGTAACGTCTTATTATTATTACTATTATTATTCTTCACATTATATCATGATTTTTACATTTTATAATGAATTAAAAAAAAAAGTAATACAATTTTATAGTGAAATAATTGTAATGTTCCTAAAATAAAATTTGACTGAAAAAATAATTTAAATTTTTACATCATTTTAGTGTTAGATGCACATTATTATTATTATTATTTTGATTTATTATTATTTATTTATTTTTTACATTTTTTATCAATTTTTTTCATCAATTTTATATATAATATATATAATTATATATAATATATATATATATATGTAAGAATTGTAATTAATGTTTCTAATATACCGTACATAAAAAATGCTACTGAGAAAATCTAGCTATTAGCATGAACTAGCTTTTGCAGACAATTAATTCAATATCCAAAAATGGCATTTGCAGTTCTTATTTTGGCCAAATACAAAAACCAAACCAAAACAAAAACACTTACATTTAATTCATATGTTTGCAGAACTGTCCTGTATCCCCCAGACACCGGTGGGAGGAACCGAAGCACCTCTCTGACCACACAGTCCAGGTAAGAAAGTTGATTCAGTTTCTCCAAACTCAGGTATGGGACATGGGTCCGAGAGCAACGCCCCTCTTCCTTGTCCCCTGCTTCAAAACACATTGTTTTATTCATCGCTGATGTCCACTCACTGGTACTCTTCTCAGCAGCATCGCGTTCCTCACTGATGACGTTCCCATGGCAACAAGAGCGGCAGTATCCATGCACGTCATCGATCAACCCCTCGCTTTCCAGCTCTGCTCTGGTGCGCTCACTCACATCTGGAAGACGCAGCAGCTGCAGGATGAGGGATGTTGATGCGCTGCCAGTAGTGGAGTGAGCAGCAAAGATTAACTCTACTGCGGTTTCCTGAAATGCATTTTAATTTATTTAATTAGCAAACATGAATCCAAATGAAATCGAAAGGCAAAAATGAAATGCAATTAACAATTAGAATAGCAATTTATTTTGCATATATACACGGACAAGATTATTTTATTCGCTTATGTCAGAAACAGTGAATCTCTTTAAAAACTGGCTGTTGTTTTCACTTCATTGCATTGTTATAATTCATAAAAGTCGTACCCACCAACTGGCAACTGACACTGTTACATATACTCGCCAACGCTGATTTTTACTCGCATTTTTGTGCTTGACGAGTGTTAGTTTTGGGCCCTGTATGTATATATGTATGTATATATATATATATCTATTGTCCTCATTTGTAAGTCGCTTTGGATAAAAGCATCTGCTAAATGACTAAATGTAAATGTAAAATACACATACTCATACATTTTAGAAAAATTTACAAATTTGTCTCATGCTCACCAAGGATACATTTATTTGCTCAAAAATACAGTAAAAACAGTAATATAAATGTATATATAATAATGGTTATTATTATTATCAAAGCTGAAAACAATTTTTTGCTGCTTAATATTTTTGTGAAAAACTTGATACATTTTTCAGAATTCTCTGATGAATAGAAAGTTCAAAAGAACAGCATTTTTTTGTAATATAAATCTTTTGTAACATTATAAATGTCTTTACTGTCACTTTTGATCAGTTTAGTGCATCCTTGAAATAAGGTATTAATTTCTTAAAATTATTTTTTTATAATATTTACAATATTACTGTTTTGCTGTATTTTTGATCAAATAAATGCCGTTGAATTACTGAAATAAATGAACTTTTCCACGACATTCTAATTTATTGAGATGCACCTGTATGTGTATGTGTCTGTGGAAGTATGTATAAATAAATAAATGAATAAATAAATGTAATTGGATCAAAACATTGTCATGGCATCATCACCAGTGATGGAAGCAAAATATAATTCTACAAAATAAAATAATTAAAGCTAGGTAATAGTACAAAGATAGCACACAATAAATTTGGATTTGGCCTTCTAAGGTTTACCTGGAGTTCTTGCATTGTAAGCTCGTAGTCATCTTCCTTCGCACTGCTCAGCATATAGTCAAAAGCGTCACAATAATCACTGGTTTGCTGCTTTTTCAGTTTCTCCTCTATGATCTTTTCCATGGCAGAGTGCAGAATCTCACGGGCCCTGATTCCCTACAACAAAACAATAGATTATGTTCATGAATTAAAGTTCTCGAAAGTAGCCGAGATTTAGACATTCATCTAGTGACTTGGAAATGTACTTTATTTTGCTTGCTCAAGCTGTGAAACAATGTGACTTTTAGCCTGTGGAAGGAAGATCGGAACTAGACTCATTCTCACCTCACGCAGGCTGCTTATGGGGGTGTCAATAGGAAGAGAAAAGAGATTGTTCATGAGCTGTTCAAAGGTTTTGGAGAGAGAAGTGATTTGCTGCTCCTCCAGGTGCAGACCGAGCAGGACTCGCACTGCGATGCGGAAAGTGAGTGACTTGGCTGCGGTGTAAACATCCACAGACCCGGTCTCGGCGCACCACTTAGCAATTTCAGACTTGACGACATCTTGAAGGTGTGACAGATAGGCCTCCAGTGCTCCACGGCTAAACACTTTTGCAAGGATCTAGGAAGCGAATAGAAAACAAAATCGTATTGATCAAATGCTGAACTATTCATTGCAACATTAATGGCTGGAAATGAAATATTAATTTTTGTGAGCCTAAAGAAAACAGTAAGGCGTTCATCTTTACAGGGTTATTTATAGGAGAAATAAAGCAATTAATGGGTTAATATTTTCGATCAGATGCCTTTTTTTATTGAGACTTTCAAACAGCAAGTCTTTCAGAGTGCATGCATTTCAGATACACTTACTTTTCTTTTCCTCTTGTGCAGGTCACCAACTGAGTTTACCAGAGTGTTGGGCCCCAGGATGATGCGTGTGCTCTGGGGCCACTGCGTGCACACCAGCGTGTGTTCACCCAGCAGAATCTTTTCTGTACCAGTCACTCGGATGAGGGGTTTGCCCAAAAGGTGAGTTTTAAAAACATTTCCGTGTTTCTCGCGTCTGGAGATGTGAAAGCTGGATCCCTGTTACAACACAACAGAGTTTCATGTCAAATCTTTTATGCAATACCCCGGGTCCCCACTACTTTTGACCAATTCATTTCTAAGACTTTTCCAGTCATTTGTGACTATAAGTATTTTTAAAATTATTTATAGAGTTGACCATAACTACAAAAATTTATATAGGAAATTCCATACTATTTTATTAACTTCCCAGGCCTACATCTTGCAATTTTATTTATTTCTTCTGCAATGGATTGATCAGTTCTGCCGCTGTGCATGAAATCAAGGTGAAAACGTCTGTTTTAACCACAGTGAAAAATTACACCCTCATCAAGTTCACACATGCAGAGAATAATTCCCCTTGTGGATTTGTACATTAGGCCAGCAGAGGAGCTCATATGCCTCATATTTCTTTGAGAAAGCATTAAACATTGCTTAACACTAAAGGTAATGCAAAAAATATTAGCAAAATAACATAAAATGCAACATAGAACACTCTAATCTACAAAAATTATAACAGGAATAAAAAATTAACTTATATAAAATCTAAATACCGTTAAATGTGGTGGTTTGCTGTGGAAGTCGACTCTTTCCTCATAAATTAAATGGCGTTTAATAGGCTACTAGCATAATTTCATCCAGGGGGCTTCATGTGTTGTTTTCATAGCTACACTTCACAGTATTTTTAAAGAACTTACAGTAACCACAAAAGTGAGTCAGAGTGCGCTAAATCGGCTTTGCGTGCGGTGGTAACCATAGCGACACGTGCTTCTTTGCCGTCTGTATCATGCTGGTGCATTAATAAAAAAAAATAAAAAAATGAATGAACGAATTAGTTATGAATTAGTTAGGCTATATATTTAACAATGTAATATGTAGGCCTAAGAAAAAACTGTTAAAATCAGGTCTCGATTTATTTCGGCGGGGTCGTTGCGAAATAGCCTAAGTCTGTAATTTTATTTATTCATTAGGCTATTAAAGATCTAAACAATATATATAAGAAAATGTTATATAGGCCTATATTTTAAAATGCATTGTTTACATTTTGTTAAATGCGCTGGGGGCGCCAAAAACACTTCGCAAAACGAATGAGTAAATCAAATTACAGATTTAGCCTATTTCGCGACAACCCCGACGAAATAATTCGAGAACTGATTTTAACATTTTTTTTTCTAAGGCCTACTTATTACATTGTTAAATATATAGCCTAACTAATTCATAACTAGGCCTAATTCGTTCATTCATTTTTTTTTTTACTTCTGAAATATTTTAATAATATAAAATTACAATTTAGGCTATTATAGCTAGGCCTATTAGAACTCATGTTACTTTTATAATCGAGGGAACAAATAAGCCTATGAAATCCATGATCGATAAATCATAAATAAGAGCAAAAAGAATTGAGAGAAACAGAGTAGAATTGTATTTATATGACAAGTCTTACCTGGATAAGCCAGTGAAAAGTTTCTCCGACCAGCGGCCAGCCCATGGAGCCCTGCGGGAGAGGGAGTTTACACGTCCGATCCCGGGTGATGCTCCACCTGAACTCCCACAGCAGCCACGAAACCACAAGCAACAGCAGAGCCGGGAAGACAGCACCGGCAGCCGCCAGCAACGCGGACACGAGGCAGATATCGTGCCCGAACATCTCCACCGATGATCAAAGCCAAAAAAAAAAAAGAAAAGAAAAGAAAAGAGAAAGCAAAGAATCCACGTGCGTGTTGTTCCAGTGATGAGATCTTCTTCTTGATGGAGCGCCTCCAAAAGTTGTGTGACACGCAAGAAGATCCCTTTACGCGCTTACTGGAAATCTAGGCATGGAATAAGAATAGGACATTATACGGGTTTTACATGGGTTTTATGAAGAGAGGAGATCTACCGTGCTGGCAATCTCTCCAGTTTCCCAGAGAAGAAAAAGAAACTGACAACTATTCCAAACAGTTTTACAAGCTGCATGCGCTGGCATGTCTTTCATCCGAGTTTATCCACCTTTTCTTGGGGTGCAACCCCTGGAACAGCCTTGCTCTCACCCACTTCGACTGTAAATCAGACTCGAAACGAACTTGAGATTATGGGAAGTTTGGAAAGTAGCACACATTTGTGCTTAATACAGAACATCTCTCTTAAACACGCTTCCTAGTAAATAAAACGTATAAATTCTTTAAAAAAGTATAATATCATAGTATATAGCCTAGTACATGGTGTACATAAACATCAAACAACTTTTATTCTTTAGTTCTTTTATTCAGGTTTTATTCTCATTTGAAGAAATAGTGAAACATTAAGAGATTTAAATATCCGAAGAATCATGTATACAGTGAAAAATGACTCTTGATAAGTAGATGGTTATTTCTTAACCTAATAATCAATGAAGACACTTTATCGAATGGTGTAACAAATATCTATCTGTCAGATCTGTGGCTAAAACATGCAATCAGTAATCTGCAATCAGTAATCTAAAATAACATTATCTTAATAGCAGAGGTAATGGTGACCTAAGTAAAACAGAGACAGACAATGAGTGTGTACTCACCTCAACACGAGTGTAAAATCATACCGAAGATATCCAGTGAAACTTCCAGATTCTTTCTAATAGGTGAACTATGAGTCTTATGTGCATCTCGCGCGCTCTAGCTTTATAGGTATTGGCACGTTTATGATCCACCTTCACCAGTGACGTGTGAGCAGTTTTTTTTTCTCTAATAGTTGAACAGGTCTTGGATAGATCACAGGGGATGGGAAACGTTTGAGATCGTAGATTCCACAGAGGGAATCAGAAAGAGAGAGAGAGAGAGAGAGAGAGAGAGAGAGAGAGAGATTGTAGGGGTTTTACTTATTGGTTACCTATTTCCTCATTAGAATTCCATTCGATCCACTTGTCATCATTTTCATGCACTGCATTTTAGGCAAGCATTCTAGTTTATAACGTCTAAAATCATCAAAATGTGTTATTTCATCATTCATCATTACATAAAAAATGTTTTGTGTAAAAAAAATTGTTATTCTCTTAATTAGTTCAGATTTAATTATTTTCAGACAATCGAAAACAACATGATTACATTTGTTTACAGAGAAGCTGCACAAAAACCTGTTTGGTATTAAATAACTTTTCAAATATAGGTTAAATCTAAAATTTCCTTCGTTAGAACACGTGGAATTGAACCCGTTTGTGGATAATTCAGGTACTTCCAGAGGGCCAACTTTTAAAAAATAATAGGTAAATCAGTTTCTGAACGCAATCGTTTGACTTTCGTCTTGCTCAGTTTTATTTTATTTTGTCGCCCCGAGAACATTTAACTTATCTTAAACAAAACTTAATTTTGTAACATATTTGTGATGTTTAAATCTATAAAAAAATTGTTAAATTATGTAACTTGTGTAGGCTATGTAGGCTATACTGTCCGATACAGACAGCGATCAGTTCGAGAGCGTGAATATAGGCTAGGCTATTTATCGCAGTATGACTTTTAATGTAAACTTTAACGATATTTCGCATCCCGACCTGAATTATAGCCAGACTGCGCTAAATATAGGCTGCACAGTCTAAAAGTTAAAGCTTTTTAAGATAATTATCAGGATGCGGTTACATTTAGTTTATTTTGCGGTTCGTGTACAATAATTCTTACAAATGATTTCTATTATTATTACAATTATGCCTGTATTCATTTGCTCATTCTTCTCTGGCTGAAATCAGCAAAGCTTGCCTACATGTTATTGTTCCATTCAGTCATCACCCATCTTGTACACTGGGCTGTACAAAAACAAAAA